CCTTGTATGATATGTCCACATCTGCTGTCACACCTTGTCACGCCCCTGTGTGTGTATTGAACTACCTTGTATGATATGTCCACATCTGCTGTCACACCTTGTCAGGCCCCTGTGTGTGTATTTAACTACCTTGTATGATATGTCCACATCTGCTGTCACACCTTGTCAGGCCCCTGTGTGTGTATTTAACTACCTTGTATGATATGTCTACATCTGCTGTCACACCTCATCAGGCCCATGTGTATGTATTGAACTACCTTGTATGATATGTCCACATCTGCTGTCACACCTTGTCAGGCCCCTGTGTATGTATTGAACTACCTTGTATGATATGTCAACATCTGCTGTCACACCTTGTCAGGCCCCTGTGTGTGTATTGAACTACCTTGTATGATATGTCCACCTCTGATGTCACACCTTGTCACATCCCTGTGTATGTATTGAACTACCTTGTATGATATGTCCACATCTGATGTCACACCTTGTCACATCCCTGTGTATGTATTGAACTACCTTGTATGATATGTCCACATCTGATGTCACACCTTGTCAGGCCCCTGTGTGTGTATTGAACTACCTTGTATGATATGTCTACATCTGATGTCACAGCTTGTCACGTCCCTGTGTATGTATTGAACTACCTTGTATGATATGTCCACATCTACTGTCACAGCTTGTCAGGCCCCTGTGTATGTATTGAACTACCTTGTATGATATGTCCACATCTACTGTCACACCTTGTCAGGCCCCTGTGTATGTATTGAACTACCTTGTATGATATGTCCACATCTGCTGTCACACCTTGTCAGGCCCCTGTGTATGTATTGAACTACCTGGTATGATATGTCCACATCTGATGTCACACCTTGTCACGCCCCTGTGTGTGTATTGAACTACCTTGTATGATATGTCCACATCTGCTGTCACACCTTGTCACGCCCCTGTGTGTGTATTGAACTACCTTGTATGATATGTCCACATCTGCTGTCACACCTTGTCAGGCCCCTGTGTGTGTATTTAACTACCTTGTATGATATGTCCACATCTGCTGTCACACCTTGTCAGGCCCCTGTGTGTGTATTTAACTACCTTGTATGATATGTCTACATCTGCTGTCACACCTCATCAGGCCCATGTGTATGTATTGAACTACCTTGTATGATATGTCCACATCTGCTGTCACACCTTGTCAGGCCCCTGTGTATGTATTGAACTACCTTGTATGATATGTCAACATCTGCTGTCACACCTTGTCAGGCCCCTGTGTGTGTATTGAACTACCTTGTATGATATGTCCACCTCTGATGTCACACCTTGTCACATCCCTGTGTATGTATTGAACTACCTTGTATGATATGTCCACATCTGCTGTCACACCTTGTCACATCCCTGTGTATGTATTGAACTACCTTGTTTGATATGTCGACATCTGCTGTCACATCTTGTCACATCCCTGTGTATGTATTGAACTACCTTGTATGATATGTCCACATCTGCTGTCACACCTTGTCACTCCCCTGTGTATGTATTGAACTACCTTGTATGATATGTCCACATCTGCTGTCACACCTTGTCACGCCCCTGTGTATGTATTGAACTACCTTGTATGATATGTCCACATCTGCTGTCACACCTTGTCAGGCCCCTGTGTATGTATTGAACTACCTTGTATGATATGTCCACATCTGCTGTCACACCTTGTCACGCCCCTGTGTATGTATTGAACTACCTTGTATGATATGTCCACATCTGCTGTCACACCTTGTCAGGCCCCTGTGTATGTATTGAACTACCTTGTATGATATGTCCACATCTGCTGTCACACCTTGTCACGCCCCTGTGTATGTATTGAACTACCTTGTATGATATGTCCACATCTGATGTCACACCTTGTCAGGCCCCTGTGTATGTATCGAACTACCTTGTATGATATGTCAACATCTGATGTCACACCTTGTCACGCCCCTGTGTGTGTATTGAACTACCTTGTATGATATGTCCACATCTGCTGTCACACCTTGTCAGGCCCCTGTGTGTGTATTTAACTACCTTGTATGATATGTCCACATCTGCTGTCACACCTTGTCAGGCCCCTGTGTGTGTATTCAACTACCTTGTATGATATGTCAACATCTGCTGTCACACCTTGTCAGGCCCCTGTGTATGTATTGAACTACCTTGTATGATATGTCCACATCTACTGTCACACCTTGTCAGGCCCCTGTGTATGTATTGAACTACCTTGTATGATATGTCCACATCTACTGTCACACCTTGTCAGGCCCCTGTGTATGTATTGAACTACCTTGTATGATATGTCCACATCTACTGTCACAGCTTGTCAGGCCCCTGTGTATGTATTGAACTACCTTGTATGATATGTCCACATCTGCTGTCACAGCTTGTCACATCCCTGTGTATGTATTGAACTACCTTGTATGATATGTCCACATCTGATGTCACAGCTTGTCACGTCCCTGTGTATGTATTGAACTACCTTGTATGATATGTCCACATCTACTGTCACAGCTTGTCAGGCCCCTGTGTATGTATTGAACGACCTTGTATGATATGTCCACATCTGATGTCACACCTTGTCACGTCCCTGTGTATGTATTGAACTACCTTGTATGATATGTCAACATCTGCTGTCACACCTTGTCAGGCCCCTGTGTATGTATTGAACTACCTTGTATGATATGTCCACATCTGATGTCACACCTTGTCACGTCCCTGTGTATGTATTGAACTACCTTGTATGATATGTCCACATCTGATGTCACACCTTGTCACGTCCCTGTGTATGTATTGAACTACCTTGTATGATATGTCCACATCTGATGTCACACCTTGTCACGTCCCTGTGTATGTATTGAACTACCTTGTATGATATGTCAACATCTGCTGTCACACCTTGTCACGTCCCTGTGTATGTATTGAACTACCTTGTATGATATGTCTACATCTGATGTCACACCTTGTCAGGCCCCTGTGTGTGTATTGAACTACCTTGTATGATATGTCCACATCTGATGTCACACCTTGTCACGTCCCTGTGTATGTATTGAACTACCTTGTATGATATGTCTACATCTGATGTCACACCTTGTCAGGCCCCTGTGTATGTATCGAACTACCTTGTATGATATGTCCACATCTGATGTCACACCTTGTCACGCCCCTGTGTATGTATTGAACTACCTTGTATGATATGTCTACATCTGATGTCACACCTTGTCACGCCCCTGTGTATGTATCGAACTACCTTGTATGATATGTCCACATCTGATGTCACACCTTGTCACGCCCCTGTGTATGTATTGAACTACCTTGTATGATATGTCCACATCTGATGTCACACCTTGTCACGCCCCTGTGTATGTATTGAACTACCTTGTATGATATGTCCACATCTGATGTCACACCTTGTCACGCCCCTGTGTATGTATTGAACTACCTTGTATGATATGTCCACATCTGATGTCACACCTTGTCACGCCCCTGTGTATGTATCGAACTACCTTGTATGATATGTCCACATCTGATGTCACACCTTGTCACGCCCCTGTGTATGTATCGAACTACCTTGTATGATATGTCAACATCTGATGTCACAGCTTGTCACGCCCCTGTGTGTGTATTGAACTACCTTTTATTACTTGCCCGTGAAGAGATCACCCGTTTAATAAACATACAGCTTTATTACACATTGTGTAATACCAAAACGCGTGCTTATGTACTCTCGGAACACGTTTCACGAACAAATATTGAAAGCTCACAACATCCCTTGGCTTATTCAACGACATTGCGTGTGGAGTTGATAGATCACTGAGAGGAGCTTATGCACACTCGATGACCCCAGCAACCTTGTTGCTAGGCTGACGTCACATGGCATTGTTTCGCCGATGGATCTTGCATCAAAATTCCACAAATTACGTCATCGGGTATTGTGACGTTATTGAAAACTTTGAGGTGCAAGGCCCGTTCCACAAGGCGATCGTATTGTAGCGCAACGACAGTCGTTGGTCTAAGTTAAAGTATGTGAGATGCGAAAGTCTTAGCCCTACGATAACTTTGTGAATTCCAAAGGTAGACCCGTTGTATGGTATGAAATTCATTCGTTTCAACTTTTGACGTGTTTGAAGTATTATTCTGTTAAACTCATGTCGTGGATCATGTAGGTGTCAGCCTATTCGTACTCAACAGTATAATTCAAAAAAACGTTATAAATTGCAAGTAATAATTAAAATACTAAACTCGCTCCCGTGTAAAACCAATTTTATGAAACTCGTGAATAGTTGGGGTATCTGACTCGCTTTCGCTCGTCAGATACCACAACTATTCACTCGTTTCATAAAATTGGTATTACACGGGAGCTCGTTTAGTATTCTATATGTATGATATGTCCACGTCTGATGTCACACCTTGTCACATCCCTGTGTATGTATTGAACTACCTTGTATGATATGTCCACATCTGCTGTCACACCTTGTCACATCCCTGTGTATGTATTGAACTACCTTGTTTGATATGTCAACATCTGCTGTCACACCTTGTCACATCCCTGTGTATGTATTGAACTACCTTGTATGATATGTCCACATCTGCTGTCACACCTTGTCACGCCCCTGTGTGTGTATTGAACTACCTTGTATGATATGTCTACATCTGATGTCACACCTTGTCACATCCCTGTGTATGTATTGAACTACCTTGTATGATATGTCCAGATCTGCTGTCACACCTTGTCACATCCCTGTGTATGTATTGAACTACCTTGTATGATATGTCCACATCTGCTGTCACACCTTGTCACGCCTCTGTGTGTGTATCGAACTACCTTGTTTGATATGTGGACATCTGATGTCACAGCTTGTCACGCCCCTGTGTGTGTATCGAACTACCTTGTTTGATATGTGGACATCTGCTGTCACACCTTGTCAGGCCCCTGTGTATGTATTGAACTACCTTGTTTGATATGTGGACATCTGCTGTTTCAGTATCTCGAGTACCGGTTTGGGAAAACAGTCCGTACTGCTGGTTCCATGACATTCGTGGTACAGATGGTAAGTATCTCCGGGCGTTACCCGACTACTCGTAACACAAACATATCACCAGTCAAAATATATACTCAAACCGCCTGTTACACTACGGTTGGCTGCCAACGTTTGTTTCATATATTTGTAATGCTAATATCATATTGTTGTAAAGTTTCTTTTCGCATAGCTATGTATCTACATCTAGTTCTTTATAGCGCCCATTTACTAAAAACAGTGCTACAACTAACGGTGACTTGACATATATGTTATCAGATACTTGTGAAACATTCTGAAAGTGTGTGATGTTTCAGGTGCTGTACATGGCCATTGTGCTGTATGCCCCTTCCCTTGCGCTGAACGCCGGTAAGTGTCTCCAGGTCATTGTGCTCATGAAATAAGTAACTCCAGGACATTGTGTTCATGAATTAAGTAACTCCAGGACATTGTGTTAATGAAATATGTAATTCCATGACAGTTTGTCTATTACTATAAGTAACTCCAGGACATTGTGTTTATGAAATATGTAATTCCAGGACAGTTTGTCTATTACTATAAGTAACTCCAGGACGTTGTGTTCATGAATTAAGTAACTCCAGGACATTGCGTTAATGAAATATGTAATTCCAGGACAGTTTGTCTATTACTGTTAGTAACTCCAGGACGTTGTGTTCATGAAATAAGTAACTCTAGGACATTGTGTTCATTAAAGAAGTAACTCCAGGACATTGTGTTCATGAAACATGTAATTCCAGGACAGTTTGTCTATTGCTATAAGTAACTCCAGGACGTTGTGTTCATGAGATAAGTAACCCCTGTCGGTTACTACACACCAACATGATCGACTTTACCTAAATACTTTAAAAACTATCCAAAAAAAGTTAAAGATCACCCGATTCTTTCATATCTACTACGTAAAGGCAAGCCAGATTAACTATAGTAAGAATCGGGTGTTCTTTAACTTCTTTTGAGTAGGATATATCAAGAACTGAAATTCGCCGCGGTGCTACAAGCCGTGACAGTGATGTGTACATACCACTACACTCCTGCTCTGTTTCAGTCACCGGTTTTACCCTCTGGGGCTCCGTCATATCCGTCGGAGTTGTCTGCACACTCTACACAACACTCGTGAGTTATCCCCCTTTATGACATCCTGAAAACGAGACCTAGGTATAACTTAGAGAATTTATTGATGTCAACTTCTTTATTACGAGGAACACAACGTTTTTGAATTCACGTGATGAAGGAATAAGTCTGTACTCCGAGGTTTTGTGTTCCTCATAATGACATCCATAAATTCTCTTCTTTATGTGTATCACATCTTAATGCCTTTCAAAGACTTGAGAGCTTAGACATAAAAGATGGCACAAATAAAACGGAGATAGGTAGCATTGTGATTAATGAGTTCGATTACCCAGATGTTACATTGCTTGAAACCCATTCTTGATGTGATAATAATGGTATATTTCTTAAAACGGCGTAATTTATTTTCAATCACTCACACACTCCTTCACGCACCGACGAGATATTCCTCCGTCTGTTGCAGGGCGGGATGAAGGCGGTGTTGTGGACAGACACCTTCCAGGTGGGGATGATGTTCGCGGGGCTGTTAGCGGTCCTCATCAAGGGGTCCATGGTTCTCGGGGGGTTCGCCAATGCCTGGGAGATCGCCGCCCGCAACGAGAGAGTCATCTTCGATGAGTACGTCACACACCTGCACACTTGTATTTAACTTGCCTAGATACACAGATTATAGTACGTCACGCAACTGCCAAACACACATCTAAACACAGGGACCAGAGTACGTCACAGATCTGCCTTACACACATCTTGGCACAGGGACCAGCGTACATCACACAACTGTCAAACACTCATCTAGATACAGGGACTAGAGTACATCACGCACCTGTCAAACACACATCTAGATACAGGGACTAGAGTACATCACGCACCTGTCAAACACACATCTAGATACAGGGACTAGAGTACGTCACAGATCCCCCTCTTACACATCTTGGCACAGGGACCAGAGTACATCACGAAACTGTCATACACACATCTTGGCACAGGGACCAGAGTACATCACGCAACTGCCAAACACATAATCATCTAGACACAAGGACTAGAGTACGTCACGCATCTTCCATACATACATCTAGACACATGGACTGGAGTACGTCACACATCTGCGAAACACACATCTGGACACAGGGACCAGAGTACATCACACAACTGTCAAACACGCATCTAGACACAGGGACTAGAGTACATCACGCACCTGTCAAACACACATCTAGATACAGGGACTAGAGTACGTCACAGATCCCCCTCTTACACATCTTGGCACAGGGACCAGAGTACATCACGCAACTGTCATACACACATCTTGGCACAGGGACCAGAGTACATCACGCAACTGCCAAACACATAATCATCTAGACACAAGGACTAGAGTACGTCACGCATCTTCCATACATACATCTAGACACATGGACTGGAGTACGTCACACATCTGCGAAACACACATCTGGACACAGGGACCAGAGTACATCACACAACTGTCAAACACGCATCTAGACACAGGGACTAGAGTACATCACGCACCTGTCAAACACGCATCTAGACACAGGGACTAGAGTACATCACGCACCTGTCAAACACGCATCTAGACACAGGGACCAGAATACATCACACAACTGTCAAACACGCATCTAGACACAGGGACTAGAGTACATCACGCACCTGTCAAACACGCATCTAGACACAGGGACTAGAGTACGTGATGTATATGCCAAACATACACCTAGACACAGGGATTAGAGTACATCACGCAACTGTCAAACATACATCTAGACATAGGGACAAGAGTACGTATTTCATCTCCCAAACATACACCTAGACACATGGACTGGAGTACGTCACGCAACTGCCAAACATACACGTCTTAAACCTGCCGTACATCAGGGAACTGTCAGCAAAACTACGATGTCATCAAATAATGTCCTCGTGACTTACGTTTCCAGTCTGTATTTATGTTCCGAGAGACTTAAGAACTCACTTAAGGGGACACACCATAAAGATATCTTTCCGGTGAGAGTTTGGGTTCCAGAGATTATCACACGGATGATAGGAATCATGGGTACGGAGTGATCTCCCTTTGTTAACATGTAGACGTTCCAACCGACGACTTCGGGGCTTGCAAGATTCCACTGTGTTGAGTTATCGGGCAGTTTCATAGGACGGGAATTTGTACACGGGAGTGTTGATATACCTTCAATGTTTATTTTGTTCTTAGGGCGGTCGGGTAGCCTAGTGGTTAAAGCGTTCACTCGTCACGCCGAAGGCCCGGGTTCGATTTCCGACATAGGTACAATGTGTGATGCCCATTTCTGGTGTCTGGAATATTGCTCAAAGCGGCGTAAAACCATACTCACTCACTCACTCACTCATGTTGTTCTTTTCAGCTTCAGTCCTGATCCATCCGTACGTCACAGCGCGTGGGCTCTCGTGATTGGTGGATACTTCACATGGGTGGCCATCTACGGAACCAATCAGGCACAAGTTCAGCGTGCGTGCACGTGCCCCACTTTGAAGAAAGCTCAGCTGTCAGTACCACTTTTTTCTTCATTTTTTAGTTCGATATTGCAAACCGTTGAAATTAGTATTTTGTAGCCTAACTGTCAAATCAACCTCCTTGGTATTATATATGTGGACATCCGTCCTCATCCATAGTCAAACGCAACTCGTGTAACACAATTCATGATTAGAACTACTGCCATAAGAAATCCAATTTATCGACACCTTCTACCATCGTTCTAGCTCCGGTAGCCGCATGTCTGAGCTGCTACCAATAAACGATTTTGATTTTGACTTGTCCCCACACAGAGCAACGGGCTGTTCCATGGTGTTTTCCTGATAGGATCTTGATCCAAAAATACAGCGCATTTTACATCTCCAGCAATGTGCATGCGATGTGATCTAACAACTAATACAACATGATTCACTTCCCAAGACACTTACCTTCAAATACGTGTACTTATGTTTTAAATTGTGCAATAATTTTTTGACTGGACCGCACCTGTAATGATGGCGGTCAAAACTCTTTCGATGATTCCAAGCCGATATAATACATTGAAAGTTACATGCTTTAAAATAGTACACATATTTGAAGGCAAGTGTTTTAGAAAGCGAGTCGTGTTGCAGTTTTCGTTGGATTACGATGCCTGTACATTTTGGCAGGGTTGTTATAGCAGGGTGCCCGAATCGGGAATCCATAATAAAACCCCAACGGAGAAGCCCTCAGCTCTGTTTAGCAGGTCGAAAAAACCAAAATCGTTTATAGGGAGCAGCATAGAAACACGGCTACCGCAGCTACCTATCCGCCCTGCTACTACCTACCTTAACCTTTCGGCATCCACTTCAACTATGTCTGCAATAAACTTAAAAGGCCATGCGTGTCATGGTCTCACAATCTGAATGGTCTTCTGCCATGCCTTCCTTCTTCCACAGGGCCATGTGGATCAACTTTCCCGGCCTCTGCTTCATCCTCTACATCTGCTGCCTCATCGGCATCGTCATATACGCCTTCTACAGCACGTGCGACCCCATCTCCTTCAAACTGGTCAGCGCATCGGACCAGGTAACCTTTCATTTCTTACCTGGACATCGTTTATTCCAAATGATGGTTATTTGCGTTGCGGGCAAGTCAAGTGAAAAAATTGATTGCGATTTTGCTGCGAATATCAATTGTCCAAGATATATTAAGTTAAATCCCGAGAGAAAAATATCGTAATATTCGTGAAAAGTATTCAATCGCTCTGTAATCAGATTCTAAAAAAAAACTAAGGGTGGGGGGTGGTCGCCTTGGGCTAAAGTACCGGCGCAAACGTTGCAGCGATGTTTTCATTGGCTTATATGTTGGCGGGCATGTGTTGCCTGGCAGCTAATCGGATACGTCAGGAAGCGGTCATTCTAAAAGTGTTGCTATATCTGTTAATCCTACAAAAATAGGAGTGCATGCATTGCTGAGTCTGTGAAACGACCTTTGTTCTTGACATTGTGAATAACTAAAATATAAATTAATGTCTGTAACTAGCTTTTTAAGACTAACATCCTTTTGGGTTCCATAAACGTTAACTACCTACTTGTCCAGCTTATGGTCATATGTATGGTCATCGTGTTTGTTTAAGCAACACACATTCGTACATTCAGCATTCATTTAATAAAATAGGCAATTGATGAAAAGAATGAGCCCTTTATAAAATGTTCTTATTTGTCCAATTTCACATTTAGCATTTTCATTTACATACTAGTAATTCAGAGTCCAGATGTGAAACAACATTGTGATACTCGTTCATTTGTTTCTGGTTGGCAAAGAAGTCAGTCTCTTCTCCCTCTCAAGGGCAAAGTCTAGGTTTCCATACTTCTTGTTGGCATCAAAGTACCTGGCTTGTGACCACAGTATTATGTAGCACAACCTACAGTATCTCAGTGAATTTGTGCATGAAAGGATGCCGCCCGTCGAGATGATTTGTATACTTGTGCTTCGTGACAAACTCATCTTTGGCGTTAATAGTGGTTGGGCATCATGTTTGGGAACATTCCCAATGAGTGGAAGTGTGACGTTTGGTCTTAATCGTGAACTTGTATCCGGCAAAAATCAAGTGCCGATCCCTCTTACCATTGGGAATACACTGTCAATCAACCCGCACATTTGCAACAGTGGAATACTGTTGCCTGTATTTTTTATAATCGTCCTAAATGATTAATATGTTAACTCACTCATCTCCACGCTCGGGCGAATCTGTACCCATGACAATAGGCGCTGGGCATGTAGGAAGACCCCCATATGAACCAGCAGGCAGACAGGGCGCTAGCCGGATCGTTGAAATTGCGCAGCGCATCAAACACCAGTAACCTATTTTAACCTCCACTAAGCGGATTCCCCTCAATGGCGGAGTTTATAGTTTGAGGGACGTCTGTTTTATGGTATTCCCCTTAAGTTTTTAATTCCGCATAAGTGCTATGTTGACTTTACTTGCCCTTGAGGGACATTGAAGCGTTCTCACAATGTAAATGTATTTTTCGAAATAACTCCTTAAAGTCAAACAAAAAACCATTATTATTGATAAGATACACGGAAGACCAAATACGCAACACCGAAAAGTGTTTATGAAAAGTCAAACGTGAATCACAGAAAGTAAAGTGAGAATCGACCGCAGATTATTTCCACCGCGGAGAAGATATCACCGCGGCCTATTATATTCCGACCACAGTATAAATATTCATATCACGGGGAAAATCGTTTTTGATATTTTTTCTTTAAAAAATTAGTTTTAGTTCCACTTTTCTATATCCTCACTGATTTATTCCAAGTCTCAATGTATTCCTTTCTGTCTTTTATTCAGGGTTCCCTGATAATTCTATTTTCCCGTTTCTGTTTCTGAAACATGTGTAACAGTTCTTGAAAAACTCTAAACATTTCGAAATGTACCATCGCCGTATTCAACATAATTGTTACTATTGTAAACGTCATATCGGATATCATGGTATGAGTTCCAAATCCCGTAGCACATTGGTGTCACTATTTACTCTATAAACAGTGGACAGTGTAATACGCTGCAGTCAGCACTTCTTCCAATTGCGTAGTCGGTGGATTGTCTGGTCCAGGGTCGATTATTTACAGACCGCGGTCATATGGCTGGAATATTGCTGAGTGCCGTTAAGCAACAAACAAACAAACAAATCCAATGTCATCTCTTCTCCAGCTCCTCCCCCTGTTTGTGATGGACGTGCTGGGTGACATCACGGGACTTCCGGGTCTGTTTGTGGCCTGCATCTTCAGTGGCGCCCTCAGGTAGGCTTAGGCATCTCACCATTCGGATGAACTTGGCATGTTCCGTTACCTACTCATTAATTCGGGCAGCAACGGAAAGATATATATCTTGCAGTAAAGAGGTTATCGCACACCCACCCTTCCCTCTGCATATATGTCGTACAACAGGGCCGCCGATTCAGATAAAACGTTATTTTCTAGGAAACTTTTGTCATGCGATAGTCACGTATTCCTCCAAACGCTGGTTGAATCTGAAAAGACCTATGATGGGCATGTGTGTGTGTGTGTGTGTGGGGGGGGGGGGGGGGGGTATTTAATGTATATAACGTATATGAATAGGTGTATGTGACCCATGCAACAGTGTCTTAGAACAAACTTTGGTATTTCCATTGACTCTAGATTTTAGTAAGCAGGGGAGGTAATTACGGGATAATATATATGAATAGGTGTATGTGACCCATGCAACGGTGTCTTAGAACAAGCTTTGACATTGTCATTGACTCTTTTAAATACCAGTAGAACAGAAATGGCAAGAGTAAACGTTTACATGAAATACAATACTAATTGAAACAAATCTCGATTTAGCCATAAAACCAAGGAAAGTATTCTTGCTTCACAATCGCAAAAGAAGCCACAATTCACTGTGCAGAGTTGCATCTCTCGGACTCGCCAGAAATCTATGATCGTTGGTTCGAATCCCGGTTCAACCCAATTATGTGTCTAGGTTTGTCAGCACTATACCCACGCTCGTTGGTTTCCTCAAAGTGGTAAACGTCTGAGACCTCGCTTCGTGCTTTCCTCCCACCAGTAAACGCCGTGATATAACTGGAATACTGTTCAAAGCGCACTCACTCACTCCCTCTACACGTGTAAGAAGCTATACAAGCGGTATTCTCTCACTATATATGTTGTGTTGCCAGCACCGTGTCCTCGGGGCTCAACTCCCTGGCGGCAGTCATCCTGGAGGACGTGGTCAAATCCTACATCGCCAAGGACCTGACTGAAGAGCGGGCCACCCTCATCTCCAAGATCATAGGTCAGTGAGGGCCTTGGGGGTCAGGTAGAGACAACCGCCTGGTGGGTCGGATGTGTGGGGCTGTCTTTATTTTCATCGGTCGAGAAGCGTTATTTCTTCACTTACACTGGTCTAAATTTGTGGTATCTATACCACAGTGTCACCACGTATTATTTCAAGGTTATAACATGGCAGTCTTCATATCATATCCATATAAACCCGAGCGCAGAAGGCCGGAAGGCTGATATTAGGTTCGAGGGTTGATATGGGGGTCGATATGGGGTATGACATAAAAACTGCCACATAATAACCTTTTTATCATGTTCCATAACACCTATTTGTAAAATGTTTCTATTTGGAAGTGATTGCAAAACATTTTCACCTTTCAAAGTCATTGTCACGGTAAAGCTGGCTTAGCATGCCTGCAGGCGACGCACTAAGGGACGTAACTCTATTTTCTTGCCACCCAGGCTGATATCGATCGCCCAGCCAAAATGCATTACAAGCCATATCGGCCCGGCAGGGGATATAACACAGGTCTGGTCATTACACACCCTGTGATATGACCGTCTCCATGTTGGTTCTATCGCACATGCACAATGCTTCATATCATAAACAGCTATATGATAACGGTTTCACCACTTTATAGCTATGGTAACTACAGTCTCACTGACCGCCACCGTGGTCTAGTTGTATAGAGTCCGCCCGGAGAGCGGGGGTTCGATCCCCGGCCGCGGCCAAGAGACGTTAAAAAATGGTATTTAATGTTACCCTGTCTGGCACTTAGAATGAATGGGCTAAAAGAAGGATTGGTCGGCATGGCATCAGTATGCTGTGTCTGAGTCTGATATTCATATTAAACTTCGGTATGGTATCTCAGTGGCTAGCACTACAAAATCGGCGTTAGTCCGGATCAGTACAAGCAGCATACACACACGTGCATGCATTTCGCTATATAAGTGCAATATTCCTGAACGCGACGTTAAACCCAATTTCACATTACATACAGTCTCACCACATTTTATCTGTTTACTATATTTACAACGAAAGTAAAGTCTCTCTTTATATGTTTACTACGGTTCCGCTATGTTATAACTATGTTTACTGCGGTCTCAATACGTGATATCTGTTTCAGCACTGGTTTTGGGCGTCGTGTGTTTGGGCTTGACGTACGTTGCCTCTGTCCTGGGTAGCGTTCTACAGGTCAGTACGTCAGTACGTCATGGCTACCTCAGTTGTGTAACCCAGCACAAGCTTACTAAAGGTTATCGAGTGTGCCCACCCAGTACAAACACTTGTCATTTGTTGATTCTAAAGATGAGGCATAGTTTATGAGGGGCTGTAAAAAATAAATATAAACAAGTTTTCTCGTTGTAAACATTATCTCAAATTCCAACATGTTGTCCGAATGTCACAACTGTAATCACAACGGCTCTTGGACAATATGACGTCACATTCCGGTAGTGTACGGGAGAGAAAAATAAAATGGTTCTGGGTGATGGATGCGTGGAAATTGGGCGACGTCATACATTGTATAACGTATAATCTTCGTGAGAATGTGTCAATAACATCTATTAGGCATTATACCCAAACTTCCGGTCTTGTTGCCATGGTTCCTTATGTGTAACCTGTAGGTGTACTGACCGATATACAGGTCAATGTAACTCACACTACTGCTTTTCATCTCTCGCGATATGTGAACATTGTTGCTTATTTATATTGTTCCTATCCTTGACTTAAATTAAAATCAAGGTCAGCTGTTATTCTAAATTAAACAAGGTCACTGAAATCTAAATTAAATAAGGTCACTGAAATCATCGATCTGTAATTGCGAAAAAACAATTGGAGACGCTTTGGGGAATTATTTAAGGCTTTTGGGCTAATTTGTCTGAAGAAGATTTATGTCTATTTCATGAGCTTTATTCAGCATGGATACGTTAACCATCACATTAAATGGAAGAGGTATATAGGCGTCTCTTGCCCGAACTGGGGTATAACGAGCGAACGAAAATGGTGATGTTGTGGCCGATACACCTTGATCAGAATTGGCCGGCCTGTCACACGAGGAATGGCATCTTAGTGAGTGATTCAGCTATATTCTATTCCCAGGCGGCGCTGTCTCTCTTCGGCATGATTGGCGGACCACTCCTCGGGCTGTTCACGCTGGGGATGATGTTCCCCTGGGCTAACAAGTGGGTAAGTGAGAGCTCTGTACGTGATGTTCCCCTGGGCTAACACTTGAGCAAGTCAGAGCTCTTTACGTGATGTTGCCCTGGGCTAACAAGCGGGTAAGTCAGTGCTCTGTACGTGATGTTCCCATGGGCTTACACTTGAGCAAGGCAGAGCTCTGTACGTGATGTTCCTCTGGGCTAACAAGTGGGTAAGTCAGAGCTCTGTACGTGATGTTCCCCAGGGCTAACACTTAAGCAAGTCAGAGCTCTATACGTGATGTTCCCCTGGCTAACACTTGAGCAAGCCGGAGCTCGTTACGAGATGTTCCCCAGGGCTAACACTTAAGCAAGTCAGAGCTCTTCACGTGATATTTCCCTGGGCTAACACTTGAGCAAGTCAGAGCTCTTTACGAGATGTTCCCCTGGCTAACACTTGAGCAAGTCAGAGCTCTTTACTTGATGTTCCCCTGGGCGAACACTTGAGCAAGTCACAGCTCTGTACGTGATGTTCCCCTTGCTAATACTTGAGCAAGGCAGAGCTCTTTACGAGTTGTTCCCCCGGCTAACACTTGAGCAAGCCAGAGCTCTTTACGAGATGTTCCCGTGGCTAACACTTAAGCAAGTCAGAGCTCTGTATGTGATGTTCCCCTGGCTAACACTTGAGCAAGCCAGAGCTCTTTACGTGATGTTCCCCTGGGCTAACACTTGAGCAAGTAACAGCTCTGTACGTGATGTTCCCCTGGCTAACACGTGAGCAAGCCAGAGCTCTTTACGAGATGTTCCCCTGGCTAACACTTGAGCAAGTCAGAGCTCTTTACGTGATGTTCCCCTGGGCGAACACTTGAGCAAGTCACAGCTCTGTACGTGATGTTCCCCTTGCTAATACTTGAGCAAGTCAGAGCTCTGTACGTGATGTTCCCCTGGCTAACACTTGAGCAAGTCAGAGCTCTTTACGTGATGTTCCCCTGGCTAACACTTGAGCAAGTCAGAGCTCTTTACGTGATGTTCCCCTGGCTAACACTCGAGCAAGTCAGAGCTCTTTACGTGATGTTCCCCTGGCTAACACTTGAGCAAGTCAGAGCTCTTTACGTGATGTTCCCCTGGCTAACACTCGAGCAAGTCAGAGCTCTTTACGTGATGTTCCCGTGGCTAACACTTGAGCAAGTCAGAGCCCTTTACGTGATGTTCCCGTGGCTAACACTTGAGCAAGTTAGAGCTCTGTACGTGATGTTCCCCTGGCTAACAAGTGGGTAAGTCAGAGCTCTTCACGTGATGTCCCCCTAGGCTAACAAGTTGGTAAGTCAGAGCTCTTCACGTGATATTTCCCTGGGCTAACACTTGAGCAAGTCAGAGCTCTTTACGTTATCATCCTCGAGGCAAACACACGGGTAATTATACACTCATTACATTATCTTCCTCGGGGCCAACATGCGAGTAATTCTACACACATTACGTTATCATTCTCGGGGCCAACATGCGGGTCATTCTACATTCATTACATTATCTTCCCCGGGGCCAACACACGGGTAATTCTACACTCATTACATTATCTTCCTCGGGGCCAACATGCGAGTAATTATACACTCATTACATTATCTTCCTCGGGGCCAACATGCGAGTAATTATACACTCATTACATTATCTTCCCCGGGGCCAACACACGGGTAATTATACACTCATTACATTATCTTCCTCGGGGCCAACACACGGGTAATTATACACTCATTACATTATCGGGGGCAACACACGGGTAATTCTACACTCATAACATTATCTTCCTCGGGGCCAACATGCGAGTAATTATACACTCATTACATTATCTTCCTCGGGGCCAACACACGGGTAATTATACACTCATTACATTATCTTCCTCGGGGCCAACACACGGGTAATTATACACTCATTACATTATCTTCCTCGGGGCCAACACACGGGTAATTATACACTCATTACATTATCTTCCTCGGGGCCAACACACGGGTAATTATACACTCATTACATTATCTTCCTCGGGGCCAACACACGGGTAATTATACACTCATTACATTATCTTCCTCGGGGCCAACACACGGGTAATTATACACTCATTACATTATCGGGGGCAACACACGGGTAATTATACACTCATTACATTATCTTCCTCGGGGCCAACACACGGGTAATTATACACTCATTACATTATCTTCCTCGGGGCCAACATGCGAGTAATTCTACACACATTACGTTATCATTCTCGGGGCCAACATGCGGGTCATTCTACATTCATTACATTATCTTCCCCGGGGCCAACACACGGGTAATTCTACACACATTACGTTATCTTCCTCGAGGCCAACACACGGGTAATTCTACACACATTACGTTATCTTCCCCGGGGCCAACACACGGGTAATTCTACACACATTACGTTATCTTCCTCGGGGCCAACACACGGGTAATACCACACACATTACGTTATCATGCATGGGGCCAACATGCGGGTAATTCTACGTACATTACATTATCTTCCTCGGGGCCAACACGTTTATGTTTCAAGTGAGGTTACTTTTCCCCCCATCACGTGACAGGGAGCCGGCGTCGGTCTGGGCACAAGCCTCGTCATGTTGTTCTGGATCGGTATAGGAGCTCAGGTGCACAAGCCCCCTCAACCCAAGCCACCTATCAACACCACGGGCTGCAACTGGAACCTCACTACCACAATGGCACCTGTCACCGTGTCTGGTGTCATGTCCTCCATATCCACCATCGCCACGACCACAGCCAACAACGCCACAACCATAGCAGCTACCGTAGAAAGGTACGGCATCTTTATCAGGTGGTTAAAGGGAGTTGTCTTTGAAGCCTTGAATCGTCGGCCCAAACAAAAGTAGTCACTTCAGTTCCGTTTTTAAGTGAACAACTAGGAGGAAATAAATCCTCTCGTTCCATGTGCATTTTTATGACATGTGACAGGAATGTCAAAAAATGTAAGTTTACATTTGATCTTTTAAAAAGGACATTTTATTAGTATTTTTTATATTCAATTTCTTTCATTTCCTAATAGCAATTATCAGGCTTTTTTGTAATAGGAAGGTTTACAGCTTTCCTGATTTGTAGGGTCGGCTCATCCGCAAAGCAGTAACGAGTCACCGACCCTTTTCAGCTGGTGTATTGACAGTCCGCGAGTACACCTCCAGTCAAAATACATTTTTACAATAATTTTATATGGTATGCTATATGTTGAGATCTCAAGTCGAGTGCTGCAATTCCTTCTAACCGTATTGACAGTCGCATTTGGGTACTGTTATCGTATGTAGTCTCCACTAATCTATCTTTAATTTTAAATCGTATGCTATATGTCGAGATCTCAAGCCGAGTGCTGCAATTCCTTCTAACCGTATTGAGTGTCGTACTGTTATCTTTAGTAGTCTCCACTAATCTGTCTTTGTGGCGATGACCTTAACCGCCGGTAACGTTGTCATATTACGTCACAGGTCGCCTGACTACTACCTCTACACCCTGTCCTATCTGTGGTACAGCGCCACCGCCGTCCTCATCGTCGTCGTCGTCGGTCTCGTCGTCAGCTTCATCACGGGTACGTCTCGACTACACGCAAAGTACAGTTTGTCACACGCACATCACCACCCTGTAGCTGTCGACACGAGTGATACCTTAATACTCATGTACATCATTCATTGTGAAGACATATCTTCATATGTCATTATTGCCAATATCACCCAATGAGGATATCGGGCGGCTGTGTAGACTTGTGATTTAAGCGGTCGATCGTCAAGCAGAAGTCCAAGGTTCTAAGGCACAATGTGAGAAACCGATGTCCTGATATGGAATATTGCAAAATCGGTGAAATATATGCACCATTGAGGGTAACCATTATTGGACAATGACGATGACATATTTGACTGTTGCATGTTCCAGGTCACACGAGGGCGTCCGACGTCGACCCCCGCCTCATCTGCCCAATCTTCGACATCCTCTTCCCCTTCAACTTCCTCCCGGAGTCCATCAGAAAGCCGCTGCGTTTCGGCATCAACCACGAAGGGGTGAGTACGTGACTTCAGCACTGAGGTTTCGGCATCAACCACGAAGGGTGAGTACGTGACTTCAGCACTGAGGTTTCGGCATCAACCACGGAGGTGTGAGTAAGTGACTTCAGCACAGAGGTTTCGGCATCAACCACGGACGGGTGAGCACATGACTTCAGCACTGAGGTTTTGGCATCAACCACGAAGGGGTGAGTAAGTGACTTCAGCACTGAGGTTTCGGCATCAACCACGAAGGGGTGAGTACGTGACTTCAGCACTGAGGTTTCGGCATCAACCACGGACGGGTGAGCACATGACTTCAGCACTGAGGTTTTGGCATCAACCACGAAGGGGTGACTACGTGACTTCAGCACTGAGGTTTCGGCATCAACCACGAAGGGGTGAGTAAGTGACTTCAGCACTGAGGTTTCGGCATCAACCACGAAGGGGTGAGTACGTGACTTCAGCACTGAGGTTTCGGCATCAACCACGGACGGGTGAGCACATGACTTCAGCACTGAGGTTTTGGCATCAACCACGAAGGGGTGACTACGTGACTTCAGCACTGAGGTTTCGGCATCAACCACGAAGGGGTGAGTAAGTGACTTCAGCACTGAGGTTTCGGCATCAACCACGAAGGGGTGAGTACGTGACTTCAGCACTGAGGTTTCGGCATCAACCACGAAGGGGTGAGTAAGTGACTTCAGCACTGAGGTTTCGGCATCAACCACGAAGGGGTGAGTACACGACTTCAGCACTGAGGTTTCGGCATCAACCACGGACGGGTGAGTAAGTGACATCAGCACTGAGGTTTTGGCATCAACCACGGACGGGTGAGTACATGACTTCAGCACTGAGGTTTCGGCATCAACCACGGACGGGTGAGTAAGTGACATCAGCACTGAGGTTTCGGCATCAACCACGAAGGGGTGTGTAAGTGACTTCAGCACTGAGTTCATAGCATCAACTATAGAGGGGTGAGTACATGACCTCTGCTCTGAGGTTTCGGCATCAACTACGGAGCTGTGAGTACATGACTTCAGCGCTGAGGTTTCAGCATCAACCACGAAGGGGTGAGTAAGTGACTTCAGCACTGAAGTATCGGCATCAACCACAAAGGGGTGAGTAAGTGACTTCAGCACTGAGGTTTCAGCATCAAGCACGGAGGGTGAGTACATGACTTCAGCACTGAGGTTTCAGCATCAACCACGGAGGGATGAGCACATGACTTCAGCACTGAGGTTTCAGCATCAACCACGGAGGGTGAGTACGTGACTTCAGCACTGAGGTTTCGGCATCAACCATGAAGGAGTGAGTACGTAACTTCAGCACTGAGGTTTCAGCATCAAGCACGAAGCGGTGAATATGTAACTTCAGGACTGAGGTCCGAATAGACGTCCCACACCTAACAGCGAGTCATGTTTTCCTGAGTTTAGCTGTTACATAACTGCAGTGCCGTTCAAAGTGACATTAAACCAAACTCACTCACTCACTCACTCACTTACAGAAGTATGACCGGCCCAGCTTGTCCTGCAACAAGACCCCTGCGGAGTTGAAGGCCGGCGAGCAGTACCGACACAGCGGCGGACCGGTGCCCATCGGCATACACGCGGCAGAGAAAGGGGAGGGGCTGGACAAGAACGGACATGCCATGAACGGGCTGGACAGGGGGTCCGACAATCCAGGATTCGACCCACCGCCGTACAGCGAAACGTCTGAACTACCCAGTACGCGGCTATGATAAAGACTTTAATGGTGCATAGTATACAGCAGTACCATCACACATATATTCGACATCTCTAACAAATCCCCGTGACTGCGGCATGTGCGACTACCCATAGTATTGTTACGGCGCTACGTGTACACTCGGGACGAGGGCCTGTGGTGTTCAAGGTGTGATGGCCGGACGTATACCAGCGTGGATTCAGATGATGGCAGTGTTGTTTGGTGTTAGATTAACAAACGGAGCAAATGCATCTACATGGAAAAAGGGCAGGTGGTGCGATTAAAGGACGAAAATGTCGGGAAACATTTTACTTTTGTAACAATGAATCTTAATTTGAAAAAAAATAAGTCACGAACTGATTTAGTTATATATCTTTGTATACGTCATCAGTCAAACAAAAGGGAGGCAGCGCGTATCCCCTGCAGCATCCCCCCTCCCCACCCCCATTACCACCACCACCCCCGATCCCAGCCCCATGTGTTTGTTCATCCTTAAAACAGAAACTCTTCCCAGTGTCTGGGACTCTTCCAACACATGATCTGGATTGAGTGTTTTCAACTGATACTGCAATGCTCCTGTATATACAGATATAAGTCGCTTGTGTTATTGTACAACTAAAGAAAGTTTAAATACATAGGTGATGTTTTGAGGTAAAGAGACATTAGACTGCCTACAACTGAACTTTTGTTAAATGTGGGACACGCCCACTCCAATGTCCATGCTGTCATGTCACCAGTCCCACTGCGTTGCAGATTTGTCGGATTTTACATTCTTATTTTTAGATATGTTCACTCTGTATTGTTTTATATTTGGAATAAAGTGTATTTCATTAGTTTCAATTTATTCTGAACATAGCAGTTACCAGCTTAATGAGTACATGCCATAACAATGTCAATTTCTATGAAAATAATAATATGAAATGGACATTTCTTTCGCTGACAAAAATGCAAATTGTGATGTCATCATTAGATCGTGGGGCAATCGAAATGAAGCCCTTTAACAGACCACCAATAAAAAGGACCTTCACACAAGCCAAGGTGAGGTGAAATGGGGTTTAACGTCGCGTCCAATATTATTGCACTTATATAGCGACGTGCATGTACGTGTGTGTGTTTGTGTGGCTGCTTGTACTAGTCCGGACTGATGCCGATTTATAGTGCTAGCTCACTGAGATACCATGCCGCAGTTTAACATGAATACCCCACTCAGACACAGTATACTGACTCCGAGCCGACCAGTCCTGGTTTTAGCCCCTTAATGCCGAGCGCCAGACAGGGTAACAACAAGTACCATCTGTCAACGTCTTTTGGTATGACGCGGCCGGGGATCGAACCCCGGACCTTCCGCTCTCCGTGCGGACGCTCTACCACGAAGGCGTTCACACAAGCCAAGGACAAACATAATTTATCATCCAAAACTGTCTCCCACAGGAGATATCGCTTGGGTGAGATCAAGCGATATCTACTCTGTAGATATCGCTGCAATGAAATGGCATCACAATGCTTTGCAGACCATTGTGACGTCATTGGTTACCATGACGTCACAATCAAATGACATCACTAATTGATGGGCTACTGAAGCTGTAAGCAGTACTTTTTACACTTAAGACACTGCTAATTACTGTCTACAAACTGAAAAAGCTGGAAGAATGATGTTGGATGATAAATAAAATCTCACCCTCGTGTCTTTTGATATCAAATATATCAACACTCGTTGATAAAAGTGGAAAAAATCCACGGCAAGCCTCGGAGTTTTCCCACTTTTATCAACTCGTGTTGATATATTTGATATCAAAAGACACGAGGGTGAGATTCTCTCTATATATATATAATGTTTGTCCACCGACCCAATCATGACTGTTGGATAAATTGCATTTTTAAAGGTGTTTTGATGTTGAAAATATAAGAATATGTCCCCAATACTGCGACTAAATTGGTTCGACCTGGGCGCTCAGTGACTTGATTCACTGCTTGTCGTCGTTGTCCGACATCGTTGGACGTTGCTCTTGATATCAATCATTGGTCTGGCTGGTTGCACGTCGCTATACAAGTGCCAATTGACCTCACCTCACTTAACACCCACCATCTGCATGGGCCATACAGCCGATGGTTACTCTTTACCACTATATACCCCGTGTGTTGCCACACAGATACGACTAACGGTACACTGAAAGGCCTCAAGGTGTGTATGCGAACCCAGTGGGCGTACCAGGCACGAGTTACACGTGAAACTAGGGCGGTACTTTTCTTCAATTAATTGCGGAGATTATTTTGAATGTTTCCTTCAGGTGTATCTATCGTCCTGCACCATATTGTGGGCAGATATTACAATATACCATAGAGAAAGTCCCGCCAACATCGCTGACAAAAGTGTATCAATGTGAGAGGGGATTATATTGCCAAAAAAATTAATATCTTTGGGACACGATTAACAGTAGCACACCAGACACTAGTTGATGTTGTGTAGATCGTAACGCCCTAGTGTCTGGGTCACCACAAACAGTGTCGACACCGCTCGTGTATGACAGACGTCATTCAACAACACATTGACATGTCTGGGTCACGTGTCTAGTCTCGTGTGCCAAGCAAACACGTCTCAGAGCAATCATGGGCTGTTGAAGACATGTTCTAACCCGGATCTTCACGAGGACCAATATATTATGTGGATACAGAAATTTAAAAATGGTAAGTATGCTTGAAAGGGGAGAAGGGGGGGGGGGGGGGTTCGCTCAGAACGGGAAGGTTCATAGAATAGATGATGGCAAAAAGACAAATTGTTGAAAATAACTGTCAATGGTAACAGCTGTAGCAAATTCTATAGCCTCGTATGGCTGCGTTAAGGATTACTTGTGTTAAGGTGAAGTGAGGTGAAGTGAGGTGAGGTGAGGTGAAGTGAGGTGAAGTGGGGTGAAGTGAGGTGAGGTAAGGTGAAGTGAGGTGAAGTGGGGTGAAGTGAGGTGAAGTGAGGTGAGGTGAAGTGAGGTGAAGTGAGGTGAAGTGAGGTGAGGTGAAGTGAGGTGAGGTGAAGTGAGGTGAGGTGAAGTGAGGTGAGGTGAAGTGAGGTGAGGTGAAGTGAGGTGAAGTGAGGTGAGGTGAGGTGAAGTGGGGTTTAACGTCGCGTCCAAGATTATTGCACTTATATAGCGACGTGCATGTACGTGTGTGTGTTCGTGTGGCTGCTTGTACTAGTCCGGACTGACGCCGATTTATAGTGCTAGCTCACTGAGATACCATGCCGCAGTTTAACATGAATACCCCACTCAGACACAGTATACTGACTCCGAGCCGACCAGACCTTGTTTTAGCCCCTTAATGCCGTGCGCCAGACAGGGTAACAACAAGTACCATCTTTTAACGTCTTTTGGTATGACGCGATCGGGGATCGAACCCCGGACCTTCCGCTCTCCGTGCGGACGTTTACCACTAGACCACGGAGGCGGTCACTTGTGTTAACATTGAAACACCAATGTCAATATCAGATAGAGCCACTAAACACGCCATCCCGAACATTTCTAGACTGTCGATCGATTCTATGCTGGACAAAAATAATTCCTTCCTAGATTCTACCCAGATGTATTTGAAGTGTTGCTTGGTACAAACATTATCTGTAACACTATCTACTACAGACTCTGACCGGAAGGTGGTAGGAGTCAGCTCCAGACATAATTGTCAAATCTGCTGTTTCTTCAAACATCTCTGATGAATACACCACATTGTCGTTAACGCTACATCCGTTAGGAATGACAAAAGTGAAATCTTGTCATCTGTTCCCAAATCTACCGTTTAACATATGTATATGTCGAGTGCTGCACATAGTTCTAGGAGTAGGTTGTTCAATGCTTATTACAGAAACCTGGGTAAAAAAATACTATTATTATAAAAGAATTGACAACAAATCATCTTTCATTTAATCAACATCCAGTTCTTACATTATAGTTAAAACTATGGGTCTGTTGGAAAATTTCAAGACAAGTTCTAACAGCTCATGTTGTAAGATGTCAATACCATTATTGTTACCCCGACGTTCTCACCATCTGGAGGGTTCTGGGTGAACATACGAAAATACATGCATAACATCACTAATACAATTGAATATTTCCTCTGCAAATATAAGACATATGCTATTTTCTGAGAAATTCGCAGCAATATTAAGCTAATGAATGTCTTACTAATACGACAATTCCACCTGATACACGACCAAAATAAGATATTTTTACAGTAAGAATGCTGAATGTTTTAAAATCAGGAAACACATGGTGAAGGTCTGTAGCCGAAGCCCATGTTTAAAGCAACGCAGCGACATCAAACGAATTTACAAATATCATAAGATCTCCATTTTGTTTTCTGAATTTGCAAGTCCATCTATGCTCCAGGAGATAAATGACACATTTCCTTTAGACTTGGGTCCCTGGCCACACCTCCATCTACGCTACTTGGAGGAGGTTCTCACAGTGTCTTTCGAACCTGATCGTAGAGGGGCGGTCGGGTAGTATAGTGATTAAAGCATTCGCTCGTCACGCCGAAGACCCGGGTTTGATTCCCCACATGGGTACAACGTGTGAAGCCCATTTCTGGTGTCCCCCGCCGTGATATTGTTGGAATATTGCTAAAAGCGGCGTAAAACCATACTCACTCACTCACTGATCGCAGAACCCGTCTGTTGTTTCCATCAGTATATCCCCTTGCTCGGATAATCTCGGGGAGAGTAGCCTCCCCTGCATCACAATCAGCTTGTTTCCCTTGTAGTTCTGTTCTCGCTGAGCTGAGTAACTCGTCTCTTTGGTTCCTGGTCAGATCGTTGGCAATACCAATATTTATTTATTTCAAATCCTTGCGAAGTGTTGATTTTTGTGTCATTGCTGGCAAATCGTACAATAACTGGACGCGATTTGCTCTCAACCCATACACAAAGTCCATGCGCAGATGCAATGGCAGTTGTCTGTATTGTAATCCTAGCAAACTGAGTTCCATATCGTATTCTTATTTTCATTCGATTTCCTAAAAGACATGCTTAAGTGCCTCTATTTGTTCACTAAAGATTGTCGGTCCTGGGTTTTGTTCAATGTCTCAAGAAGCACAAATGAGTAGACGTTTCAGAACAGCACTGTTTACCAGGTTACAGAAAGTGAAAGGTCTCCACATGTATACGATGACCTATGGTAAAACGGAGTTGGCATTTTCGAGAAGTCATATGCCACCTCTAATTGGTCTTCATCTATACACAATACACCTCAGGTCAACACGAGTTGATAACACTGGAAAAACTGGAGTTTTTCCACTTTTATCAACCCGTGTTGATATAAACTGACGTCCAAAAGAACCTTTACCAGAGTTTGAAATCACTCTTGCTCAAAAACAACAAAACTACCATGCATGAAGTAAAGTGTATTCAGAAGATCAATATTTCAACATAATCAACACTGAAAATGACAATCATACCGCGACCGAGAATGACGTCAGAGCCCCCCCAAAGTTGGGTGTGGTACAAAACTCGAGCTTTCACAATCATGGACAATAGGCAGAGTACATAAACAATCGCTCACGTTCAACAACAAGTCATTAGTAGCGTGTGTGACCACCAAATGCCTCAATACACGCAAAAACTCTTCGACGCACAGACAAAAATCAGTCGTCTGATGAGGTCACGTGGGATTTGACGCCATTCTTCTTGGAGGGCCAAGATCAGTTCTTGCCGGTTGGCTGGAGAGTGTGGTCGTTGTCGAACACGACGATCCATCAAGTCCCAGAGGTGTTCTATGGGGGACATGTCGGGTGAGCGTGCAGGCCACGGCAGGACGTTGACGGTGTTGGCTGCGAGGAAGTTAGTGACAAT